GCGGTGGCCGGAGCAGCCACTGCACTCCAGTCTGGGCGACAGAGTGAGACTCCAACTCAGAATAAATAAATAAATAAATAAAAGGTACAAAACAAACCTGACCTAACTTTGAATTGCTTTAAAAATTAAATAAGAAAAAACAAAACAAAAAACCTGAGCTATTGTTTGGCAGCATTATATGTCTTTGTCCTCTTGAAATTTATAGCTTAATGATTTACATAAATGTGATATTAGTATTCATTTTCAATCTGACATTTTGGTGGACTTAAAAATAGTTTTAAAAGCTTAACAAAAGTTGTAGCAGTACTCCATAGAAAGAAATTTTGTTCTTCAGTTTACAAAAGTTCAGCAGGAATAGTACCTAAATAGCAAAATTGCGTGCACTTTTTAAAATTATTGTTCTAATTCAACCAGGGCTTCCCTCCTTTCATTCTTTGTCAAAACTTTATTGTCATTACCAAGTTTAACGCACAGAACATTCAGATGATGGTACCCGGCACATCACAAGTGCTCTGCTACTATCTTTATATTATTGTTGGCACTATCTACAGTAACAGAAAAAGGATGTCTAGGATCAAGACATCCACACATCTTGATATCTCAAGAGTTGTACAAGTCTGAAGATAGTACTGCATCATTGCTAAGCATGTCACCTTGGGCAAACACACTGAAATGTGTCCATTTCCCTAAGATGCTTCCTCGTTTTAGCACTGAAAGTCCAGAAAAACCCCTCAAGTTCTGAGTAAATTGGGACAGCTGGTACCTGCCTGAGACTCAGATTCTTCCTCTGTATAATACAGGTGACCTAATATACCCCCATTGTAGGATTATTTGTGAGGTTTAGATGGGATAATACATATACAGAGGTAACACTGTCAAGTAAAAGCACAAAACCAGGCCACCCAGTTACCACACTGTATCTGTCCACCTCAGGCAAGTTACTTAAACTCCAAGTCTCAATTTCCTCACGTGTGAAATGGGAAACTGCCACTTATTCTATACAAACATGCTGAGACCAGTGCAGAGTGCACAGGAAGCACCATGGATGACTATTATTATCATTAAAGTATGCAGCCCATTCCTAGCCATCTTCAGCAGTTGGTAAATGTTTATTATTTAATAAAAAGACCTTAAAACCTAATGTAGACCCACTCGGTGGCTCAACCTGTAATCCCAGCACTTTGGGAGGCCAAGGCAAGTAGATTGCCTGAGCCTGTGGATTTGAGACCAGCCCAGGCAACTTGGTGAGACATTGTCTCTACAATATATCAAAACTTAGCCAGGTATGATAGCACTGGCCTGTAGTTCCGGCTACTTGGAAGGCTGAGGCGAAAGGATCACCTGAACCCAACAGGTGGACGCTGAGGTGGCCATGAGTGTGCCACTTGCATTCCAGCCTGGGCAACAGAGTGAGACCCTGACTCAAAAAATTGAAAAACAGGTAACAGAATTCAGAGAAGCTAAAACAGTATGCTACATTTAAATTTGTTTTAACTGAACAGACTTCAAATATGTACTATTCTTAAAGCTGCTGCTACTTAGGTAGGTTAAATATGTTTTTTAAAATACACAACTTTTTGTAATTACTGTATTTTTAAAAACTGTCGCCTTCCTTCTGAATTTCTTTTAATGAGTTTTTAACCTCTGCACCACTAAATCATTAATCTATTTTTTCATTTTCAAATAATAAATTCACTCTTTATATTTGCAAGAACGACCACATGTGCTTTTTAAAGTTTGGATTCTATCAACTTTTGATGTGTAAGCTTAAAAGTTATAACCAGCATAACATTAAAAGATTTAGCATCAACAGTTGTGCTACAGCTACAGCTAAAATACACTGGGAAATCAGAATACCTTTACCACAGGGGTTCTCGTGAAGAAATTCTGTCCCTCACCCCCACAAGGACCACTTGAAAATGAGATTTTTGGTGGCCACAAGAGGAGTGGGGGTGGGGCACAGCATGCTGCTAGTGTCTAATAGGTGAAAGCCAGGGACATACTCAACAGCCCACAGTGCCCAGGACAGTCATCACAGCAAAGAGCGACCCGGCCCAACTCATTAGCAGTGCTGTGACTAATGTATGTGACAAAAGAAAGGTAAGAGTTAAACACCAGCACCTCTGACCTGGCCTCCAGTGACACTGAACATGCCCGGGCGAAGGCAACCTAGTCTGACATCCTAGATGCACACCTTCTCTGACCCCATGGGAGTTATCTTTATGGAAACACTAGCAACATCTGCTCTGTGGCCACGATAGTTAATTAGCCCTTCAGGGTTGTATTGACTTATTTTCACACAATGACAAGTAACATTCTTTAGAAAATAAATGTGGCATCTATTTCCATGTTTAGATTATTTCTATGAGTTACAACAGTTCTATTTGCAACGGTGTAACAAATTTTAATTCAAAATAGACACTCTGAAAACAACAGGTAAAAAATAATAATAAAGTTCAACAAGCTCTCTTTTTGAATTTACAACAGAGTACACCAACAATCACAGACCAGTTTCACAAGTGCCTCAAATATGCACATTATAGCAATTACATGCAAATATTGTATTTTTAAAAACCCATACACATTATTATTTCTCAGAGGCTCCAAATATTTCTACCTAAAGGTATGTTGGACAGTTTCTCTGCTGTGTGCTACCAGCAATATGACGTACCATCTAAACTGACTGGTCTCCATTTCTGGTCCTGGTGCTTTAAGTTATTTTATATTGTATGGGGAAAAACAAGATTTAACATCCAAAGGACAGTGACAACAATAGAGAGTTTTTAGTAATACATCATCCCTTCCAGCTGAGCAGCTGGGCTAGAGAAACACCTGTTCTCCCATTCAATGTGACCTCCAGGAAACTTGGTCAAAGACATAGTACGCTAACCATCGCGACTTAGGTCCTGGTCTGCTCATTTCACCCTGTCCCCTGAAAATCTATGCTGTAATTTAAGATAGTATCCACACTCAGGTGCAATAACTTTATTTCTGAGTATCACAGTCCTTTCCTTTCACTAGGTTATGAGCAGTTAGAAGAGTCTTGGGTGTGTTTTCTCAACGTTTATTCTAAAGGCACTAAAGATTTATTGTTTTATCTTTGAATGGAGAAATTACTTATCAGCATATCAAATGGGGGAAAGTCTACACTGAAAAGTATTTCTGCACCTACAGAATTACTTTATTTTAAAAATAACTCTTGATTTATGAACTACATACCAGACTTCAGATTCAGTATATTTTGAACAAGTGAAAATATTTGGTTTTCTGAGTTAAGATTTAAAAAAAAAAAAGCTTTAGCATAAAGCTGGAAAAAATGTAGATCAAAATTATAATCTAATAAGCACAGAGCTCACAAAGAAGAAATCAGCTTAAGTTAATGCAGTACACCCTGAAGAAGCCAAACACATCACAGGGTTTGTACCCACGTCTCTTAATAGTTACTGTATCATTTGCTGCTACATGTAAAGCTGAGGGAAAATCGGTGCTTTAACTCACAGTTAATCAAGTATTCTGAAACAGGCTGAAATTTCCTTAAATGAAAAAAATATTTGTAGATTTCTGTTTTTTATCTTATGATACTGATACTACTGGGGAAAACAAGGCGTGCATGACATATCAAAAGATTCAATTTACATGACACAGGAAAAAATAAAGTAATTGTTACAAATCAAACAGCAGGAAATAATAAATCTGAAAGAACCACTTGCTTCCTTCCAATAGAAGTCTTTCTGAGCACCTGAAATAAATCTAAAGAGCAGCATAAAGACCACTGAAATTGATAAATTCAACACAGTGAAAAACACATTTTTAAAAATTTCAATTGAAAAAACTATTACCTAGTATTTTAGATTAACTTTTTTTACAAGTTTTGTGTTTCATACTCAAAGTTCAACCTGTGTTTAACATTTTTAAGTTCAGACATATCAAAGCCTAAAAGTACAGAAGGCTTCTGGTTTTTTATTGCTTTCATGCAAATATACCTTCTTTTTCCAAAAAATGAAGCTACATCAATTTTCCATACCCATAAGAGTGAGGATAACAGTTCTATTTCCTTTTTACTAGGATACGGTCTCTTATGAAAATAATCTCTAAGAAACTGCTTTTTTTCTTCATAAGAACGGTCTTCATATTTTTTAGGATCTAATGCTAAAATCTGAAGAGCGTCCTCATTGACAATCGGTCCCTCTGTCCTGCTTTCATTCCTCTGTCTTTTAAAAGGCACAGCACTCATTACTTTTTCTGGTCCTGGAGCCATGTCGGCATTTAGAATGATAGGTGGCTCTTCCCCAGCCCTCTGGTCCTCAGACGCAACATCGCCATCAGGCAGCTTTCTCTTTACAGAAAAGCTGGACTCTTGTATCACTTCACTACTGACTAACAGCAGCTCACTGTTCTCAATAATGTCAGGTTGGGTTTGTAGGTCTGACTTGCTATCCTTCGGAGCACTTCTGCAGCGTACCAAATGGACAGCGATGGCGGCCAGGGTCATATTTCCAGTATAGACCCCACAGCAGTGGATGCACTTGAAAGCTGGAGACTTCAGGATGGTGTGGACTGTTGGCATAATGTGGTGCCTCTCTTTCAAGTGCAGCTCATATGCTTCGGTTGTCACAAAGGTGCCAAAGCAAAAAGGGCAGGTTGATACCTGCCTGCTGGGGTTATTGGGGTTGCCGGGGGCACCAGGGTTGCTGGGGGCGCTCTCTGCTGGAGGCCTCACCTTCACATACACAGGCACGAGCGACTTGGAGTGAATCCCAGCAAGGATCGCCAAGTAGACCTCGCGCTCGCCAAGCTCCTCCTTTGGCAATATAGTAATGAAATCAAGGTGGGGAAAGAGCAGGTTGCCATTGGCATCGACATCTAACTGAAAACCTCTGTTGCTATAATCCACAGGAACCTTCTTCTTCCCTAGATGCCTAGTCCTGCTATGCTCCGAAAGACCTTTGATGTCATGGAACGTGCATGGACAGAACAAGCAGCCCAAGCCATGCATCAGCAAGTGATGTATAAGCTCCTCCTCGGAGACCAAGCACTTACAGGAGAGACACCGCACTGTTTTCTCTCTCATCCACTTTAGAAATGGTGCGCATGCTGCCAGCTTCTCGGGCTCAAGCTTCTCACCAGCCTTGACCTCACTGTGCTTATGAGCCACCTGCATATGGACCTGGTAGACGTTGGATGGAAAGAGCTCATTGCACACTGGACAGGTCTTCCACTGCTTGGCCTGTTTGAGTGCCTGGTTCGTGTCTGGAGCAGACGAGGAGGCCTGAACAAACACGCTCTGTGCAGCATTCACCAGCACTGGAGGAGAGGCCATGCTGGGCACAGAGCCAGCCATTGGTGCAGCTGTGCCTGATGACAGGAGCTGGATAGGCACCTGGGGTGGGGCGACGGTTGCAACACCTCCAGGGGGCACCGGCAGAGTGACAGACACTGGAGCCAGCGTGTAGGTTGGAATCCCATTCACCTGTTTCCCTGTAGGGATGAGCTGTCTAAGAATAGAGCCTGATGTGAGGAAAGTGGTGTTCTGTGAAGCACCAGGTCTAACTGGTTGGTTCACAGGCAGAATGTTGGTGCCAACAGGCTGATTGAGTTGCAGGACCCCAGGCCTCACTGGCTGGCCCATAGGAAGAACTCCTGACACAACGGGCTGGCTGAGCTGAAGAACACCAGAATTCACACTCTGGTTCACAGGGACAACACCTGAGGAGACCGTCTGGTTGGGAGAAAGAAGCCCAGATGGAACCACCTGGCCTGCAGGGAGAACCCTCAATGGGGCCGTTTGGCCAGAGGGAAGAACCCGTGAGGGGGCTGTCTGGCCAACAGGGAGAACCCCTGATTGGACCATCTGCCCAGGAGGGAGAACTCCAGAAGTTGCTGTCTGTCCAGGGATAACCCCAGCAGGGGTCACCTGGCCTGCAGGAAGAACCCCTGACGGGACCGCCCGACTCACAGAAATCACCCCTGGTGAGACAGCCTGTAGGACCCCAGGGGTGACAGAGGGACTCACTGGAAGGACACCGGGCCCAATGGGTCTGTTTATGGACCCCACAGGCTGGGTAAGGGGTAAAACTCCAGGGCGGACAGTCTGATTTATGGGAAGGACACTAGTTCCAACAGACTTATTGATAGGTCCAACTGGCTGACTCAAGGGCAACACTGGAGGATTCACGGACTGATGAAGCGGGACCCCGTGAGAAAGAAAGACGGGCTGAGGTGCGGAGGGTTGCAGGGTGAGGCTGTTCTGGCCCACAGGCAAAGGGCTGGAGACCAGAGCCATGTGGGACTGAGCAGCAGCAGGTGGGGAATGAGTGAGACTCCCAGGAGCAGCCTGGGCCACAGTCACTGGCTGTACTGCAGCTGGGCTGGCATTGTTCTGGGGCAAAGCAAGATGAAAGCGTGGAGGTGGGGCTGGAAGGTTGGGGGCACTGCCGTTGGGTGGCATGGCCAATTGCGCCGCTGGTTTTGGAGCAATGTGTGTTTGCTTCAAGAGTCCAGTCCTCTTGGTATGTTCTGAAATCACAGATCTAAGCTTATTCTCCAAATCTCTGTGTATATCCGATGTCAAAATATGATACATTAATGCATCCTGGCTGCTGGCGTTGGCATTGCATTTTTTACAGTAATATCTGTCAGATGGTGGGATCTTCTCCACAGAGTGAGTGTCATTAGTTTTTGGTTGCTCACCCATTTCCTCAGTTCGCAGACCAAAGTAGGAGTTAATTAAGTAGTGAAAATGGGCTACCAGCACATGCTTCTTCATGCTGTAGTACAGAGTATTTGAAAAGTTACATTTTAAACACGTAAAACTTATCACATCACTCCTAGATGATTTAGTCTCGCCTAAAATATTCACTGTGTAGTTCTGGACTTTCCGAACAGGTGCGTGGAACATTCTGAAGTGCCTTCCCACCACTTTGGGTTGAGATGCAAACACACAGTTTGGGCAAGGGATCACCAGTTCTTGGTCAATTTCATCTTCGTGGTAACGATGTAAATGATTTTTGAAAGAAGTAAGCACCTTTGTAGAGTATTTACAGAGGCCACAACAGTATGGCTTTGTTCGATATCTCTGTTAAAAGAAAAGAAAATCTTAATCAAAGTTTAATAAAACTGTCAGATGCTACACTTCCACAGTCACTGAGGACATAGTTCCTTTTCTTCTAACGTGCTAGATACTTTAACACTATCCTTCCTCAAGGAACAATGTTTTTTCTGATGCAGGGTTTGGCAAGTTTCTCCTATGAAAGACAAGACAGTGAGTATTTTAGGCATGTGAGCCATATGACACAGTCTCTGTAGCAACAACTCAGCACTGTCATTGTTGTGCAAAAGTACCCCAAAATCATACGTAATTTATGGGCACAGCTGTGTTCCAGTAAAAATTTATTTATAGACACCAATTCAAATTTCACTGTCACAAAACAGTATTCTTTTGGTCTCTCCTTCAAACATTTAAAAGCCCAACAATTATCCCTGGTTCATGAGCTGTACAAATGCAGGATTTGGCCCACAACTCATAGTCTACTGACCCCTCTTGTAAGCCATCCACTAAAATGACAAATCTCATTATTTAGCCCTGTATTTTGAATTAACTGCATCAATAAAATAAACTCAGCAAATTAGCTGCATAATTATGAGAAAGTTATTTTCTTCCCATCTCATCCCATCCCATTTCTCTTAGTTCCAACGTTATTTCTACTCCAAATTCTAAAACCTCTGGAATTTATTTACAAATAACCTAGCCCTCCAACTGTCAAACCCATCTTTACCATCTTCTTATTTCTCCAATTCCTAGAGAAGGTAGAAGTCAAATGGAGAGTGCTAGGCACAGCAGGTACCCAATAAACTATCTGATAAACAGTAAAGAAAGAGCAATTGTGCCTAAACTCATGTTATAAATAATTCTGAGATAAGGATAAGACCACACAGTGACCATTATGTAACTTTTATGTAAGCCATGACTGGGGAATTCAACAAGCTCAGGGCTTTAAAAACAGACATTCATACGATAGCTGCCAATGGAGGAGTGCAATCTGTTCTAACATCCACGGAGTCTTGCTTGTTTGTGACATTGAAGACATTGGTCTCAAGATGGGGTCTTAAGACCCGAGAGCTGCTGAACCACAAAACACCTTCCCCCAGTTCCACAAACTAGTAAGTTAAGACCTGGACAGATTAAACACTTCATCTGAGGCCCAAAAGTTGGCTGTGGCACTCCCACAGTGATCAGGGGTTAAATTCCCACCCTTTCCTAAATATATGTTCTCATGATCACTCTCTCATATACAAATTCACATGCACTTCCATTCTTCAAGATATTGTTATCCTACCTTTTTTCTATTCATGGAGTTCTTCCTCTTCAGTCACAGGTCAGTAAAATTATCCGAACACATTTAGCTTGCTACCATCTTTTCAGCATTTCGAAAAATTCCTGGTTCTAGTATTTCTGGTAAGATCTATAATAACTCTAGGGTAATAACCACAACTCCAGACCACAGACTAAGATAAAAACCTATTTCACTGAATCTAAGAAGATATATTTTGTCATACTTTAACATCTCTGAAATCTAGATATACCTTACAACTTATTATTCATATTGCAAGACAGTTTAAGTATCGTTTTAGTTTATTAGTGGTTCATTAAAAATGGTACATTTTATATTCAATGAAATACAGGATTGAAAAACCATAGTTCAAAGCAAATTACACTTGGTGAAAGAACCAACAGAACTTACTGACAGTCGCATGTGTATATGTGAAAGTTCTAGGACAATGACTAATCATAAACAATTTTGAGTATGACATCAGTTGACTGATGCATACATAAAATGAATAACTAAGTAGAAAAGAAGAGGTGTCACTATACTGTGCACTGCCAGAAAGATGGACTCCAGACTCGGATGTCATCTCTCCATCACACCTAAAGTTTGCTTCCTCAAGACCCCACAGTAACCTCACCTCAGGTCACTTTAGCAAGCCCCATCTGTTCTCAAACCCTGAGAAGGCCTCACTTGTTTCTCCAAGCCCCTGAGAACCTTACTGAAGTATGAGCTACATAATCCAGCATGACTACACAACTTTCTTGCTATGTCTCCCAAACTGTCTCTGTTGCTAAATCGTATGTCCTGGGGACAAATTAAAGCAGTGAGACCACAGTAGGAAAGAAGATGCTAAAACTAACAGACATCACTCCAGGCAACCACTCCAGACAATAATACATTTACTTTTTTCTGAATACAGTATCTAATACATTCAATCTCTATTATTTCAAATTATTACTTAACTAGGGACTATTCACCTGACCAAGAAAGAACTCTCACTTTTACTTCTTTGTGTCAGGCAATCAAAAACCGTGACCTGCTTTGTACAAGAGTTCAAAAACTTTCTTGATGAAAAGCGTGCAATTGTATATATACTGCAAGTTACATTATATTTTAGGAATTTGGATTAAAAAAAATCAATGAGGCCTAAGATCCATGAAGTCAAGATCTGCTATGCAACAACCATGAGCTGAGCAGGACAATAACTAAATCATAGTGATTTCAAGGAACTTTGCCTCCTAAGGTAGAGGGTAGTAACCAGTCAGAGACTGAAAAGTGGGACTCAAGGAGAATGAGCTGACAACAGAAATATCTTTACAGAAAATTCTGACAAAACAGTGCCTAATTAACTAAAAAATATTTAGGCAAAAACTCCAAAGGCCAGCATGACATTGACAAATCCAGAAGGTGGAGTGAGGATCAGCTAAGTCACCTCTGGGATGGGCTAAGTTTGATAATGATGAAGGTACTAACGGCTGGTGGCAGGAAAGGCTTCCCAGAAAACACTTTAACCAGAAGAATTAGGCAGTATGACGCATGTTTTAGCTAAAATTTGCTTAACTCAAGGTATCAAATTAGTAAAAACACTGTTCCTTGATTTAAAGGTCTACATTTTATTTCAGTTTGAAACAGGATTAGGTTGATGCATAAGTTCATAGCGTTTGTTTTTGTCATGTCAACACTGCAGTGTTGGGAGTTCATCATTTGTCATTTGCCATTTGTAGTGACAACGCTGTGCTTGTGAATACGTCTTGCATTTTGCAAATCTGAAGAAAGGAAGTGCTATCTGTGGGCTAAAGAAGATGGAGGGCTGGCCGGGTGCAGTTGCTCAAGCCTGTAATCCCAGCACTTTAGGAGGACGAGGTGAGGGGATTGCCTGAGTTCACAGGTTTGAGAACAGCTTGGGCAACTTGGTGAGACCACATTTCTACAATAAAAAAAAAAATTAGCTGGTTGTGGTAGTGTGCACCTGTAGTTCTGGCTACTTGGAAGGCTGAGGCGGAAGGATTACCTGAGCCCAGCGGGTTGACGCTGGAGTGGCCGTGAGTGTGCCATTGCACTCCAGCCTGGGCGACAGAATAAGACTTCAACTCAAAAAAAAGAAAAAAAGAAAAGAAGATGAAGTGTCAAGTGGAAAAAAAGAACACTTCCAACATATTCTTCTGTTAACAGAAACGTAAAAGCAGCGAAGCCTGGAAACATTTGTGCCATGTACAGGGGGAATGCCATCAGGGAAACCATGGCAAGAAAATGGTTTTGTCATTTCAAAGAGGGCTACTTTGACCTGGGTGATTCTCCATGTTCAGAAAGAGTATCAGGCTTTGATGAAGACCGTTAAACACTTTAATCCATGATGACCCACGTCAGTCAACCTGAGAACTGGCAAACGTGATGAACTATAACTGGTCAATCACTGTGTGACATGTGTATTCCATGGGCAAGCAAAAACACTGCGAACTTATGCATCAACCCAATAAATTCATCACACTTAATGCCATGGCATTCTGAATTACTCAGAACAGTTCTTAAATCAAAGGTCCTTCTTTCACCAGTGGCATCTTATGGTCAAGGACAAAAATAATAGCTTCATTGCATCAACTCCATATGCAGAAAATTCTCACAGCACCAATAATCCTGCATCACTAAACACTGGACTTATTTTGCTTTTCACCTTCCTGAATGTCTGTGTTATATCTCCTTCCCACTCACGCCCCCACCAACCCCAATACATGCAATGTCCCTCAGACTAAACTTACACTCATCCCTGACTTTTAAGGAAACATGAAAACCAAATACTAAAAAATACATACCACTTTCTTTCCAGAAGGTTCCCAGAGAGAAACATCTCCCCATGATGTATTATAAAAGTACTTCTCCCCTGGATCAAAGCCTTTAAGATCCTTTAAAAGGAAGGAAAAAAAGAATTATTACACAAATTAAGAAGTTAAATATTTCACCAGAACCTTATGAGATTACTCGGTGCCTAAGAAATCTACATGAGAAAAAAGAGAAATGAAAGTACAGTCAACCCTTGGTCTCCATGGGAGATTGGTTCCAGGACTACCTGCAAATACCGAATCTAAGGATGTAAAAATTATAAACGACATTATAAAAATGATGTCGTTATTTGCATGTAATCTATGCACATCTTCTCTCTTACTTTGTTTAGGGAATAATGATAAGGAAAAAAGTCTGGACATACTCAATACAGATACAACCATCCGTTTTACCCCCAAATATTTTCCATTTGTGTTTGTTTGAATCCACAGATGCAAAATCCATGAATAAGGAGGGCTGGCTGCAAAGCCATCAGCAAATTGTGACAGAGGACCCGTTAAGTATAAGAACTGAGGAAAGGGTTGAAATAATCCAGGATAAAATTATAGTTTTATAAGAAATAAACAGATGAAACCTCCCAATAGATAATTATCAACATTTTTCTGTATGTAAGGCAAAGACTAAATGTAAGTAAGGATTCTAAAACCCATGTAGCTGAGTACATATAAAGAAACAAAAAAATACTTTAAAGTAAAATAATTTTTATCCTGAACACACTCTTTTTTTAAAACTATTACCTTACCACTATTATTAAATCTACTTACCTTAGAGAATGAAAGAAAAGTGTTTTTATCTTCCTCTTTTAAATTTCTTTCAAAGCAGACATTTAAGCAATAATCTACAACACGTAGAGGGTTTTTCTCAGATGGAACATGTCATTTTTCACTCAAAAAGTTAGACTTGCTTCAGTGAGAAAGTTACCCAAAAGACCAATAGTGTAGAAAAGGGTGTAAGGGAAAACCTCACAAGTGGCTGGGGAAAACCACTAAATGAGGTAGCAGTTTGGGAAACGCAGTGTGTGATGGAGACCCTCAGGGGCAGGTGAATATGAAGAAGAGAAAAGGAGCAGGTCCCAGGAAGGGACCAAGAAGCAAGAACAGCAGATGAACCAGGACCTCCCATAGCAGCAGCATCCGTGGAGCAGAAGAAGCAGAAATAGCTGTCTTCCAAAGACTACTGGCAGCCGGTAAAGTGGAAGGCAGGCCTTCACCTTACATGCAGGTAAAAATGGCCTAGGACAAAATAAACACGAGGAGGGGAGAGGTGATGAACAAAAACCACAGGACACAGTAACACACCTTACCCTTTTGCAAAGTCACTATTTCAACCCTCCCATAATTCCTATTGGACTCTAAAGACCTAACTACAGACAAGGTTCCAGCCTCACAAGCAAATACTATCTCCCATGCATATAAGCACTATAAAGAACTATTTCAGGATGGTAGAGGAGTATAAAGGAGAGAGTTCTAACTGTGTCTGCTGACCTGAGCATGACTGCGGGGAGATGTCCCACAGGGCTTAGGCTGGGAGTGGCTAACATGACAGAAAAGGGACAGGAGAGAGAAAAACAACAAGGTCAGGGCAGGCAGCGGGGTGGTGATGGTGGTGAGATACCAATGACAGCAGGGCAGCTGTAGTCTGACAGAGAGTTTTAAATAAAATGTTTTAAAAAGTGAAAGTTAGGCCGGGCATGATGGCTTATGCCTGTAATCCCAGCACTTTGGGAGGCTGAGGCAAGAGGATCGTTTGAGGCCAGGAGTTTGAGATCAGCCTAGGTAACACAGTAAGACTGAGACTCTACAAAACGGAAAAAATCAGCCAGGCATAGTGGTGCGTACCTATAGTCCCAGCTACTTGGGAGGCTGAGACAGAAGGATCACTTGGGTCCAGGAGTTGGAGGTTGCAGTAAGCTATAATTGCACCACTACACTCCACCCAGGGTGACAGAGCAAGACCTTATCTCAAAAGAAAAAAGCGAAAATTAGTCACTAAGTGAGTTGTGCAGAAAAACATTTTACATTTCTCTCTAAAAGTAAAATGTTAAAGTCCATGTCGCCCACAATTACTTTTCCTCTTTTTTCTGAGTTGAAAGAAGAAAGTCTACTCCTGCTTTGCCTCAGTCACTTCTCAGTGTGTAGAAAGTGTAGTTATAGAAAACAATTTATTATACTACACTATTTTTACACTTGCAACACAGCTCACTCACTTAAAAAATATAAGCTATATTAAGAAGTGAGCATGAAGATATAACATTTCCATATCTTATGGTATGATCAGTCCTATGACTATTACTATACTAGTTTCAGAATTAGCCCATGGCACTATCTTAAGAACCTAAATAATAGATACAAATGCTCAAAGACCAATGAGAAAAATGCTCAAAGATGGGCCCATCCTCACAGAACCCGTAGAGGAGGGGGAATGACAAAAGTACCAGAAGCCACATCAATGTTGTAACATTTGTGCATCAAAAGGACACATGACTACAGAGACCCAAACACTCTAAAATCATAGGAAAGCCATAGGAGTGCTCAAAAAGTCAGAAAAAAAGAAATGTCATAAATCACCACTTGGAAAGTTTATTAACTAATTACTCACTTTGCAGAGTGATACCTCAAAAGAAAGAATAAAACCTCGTCCTGCCATTCCAAGAGGCACTCTATTTCAGAGAAACCAAACAATCCTGATTGAGGCATAGTTGACAGAAGAATGTCTGCTAACGATATACAAGTAACAGAATCAGATACCTAATTCAGAGCAACCTCCTATAAATTTATCAGCTGGGACAAAGACTATCAACTGGTGGTAAATGTACCACTTTCTAGTCCACGGTAAGAATGTAACTACACATGAAGAGACCAGACTGCCATACACTGTAGTGAAGCAACAAAACATGATGAGATTCCTGGAGTGATACAAGAAGTATAGAATATCACATATGATGTGTTCTAGCCCAAAATGTTTAAATTGAGTCAACTGGGTCTTTTAATAGACTCTCTCATTTACAAAAAGCTCAGGGGACAAAGGACTAAGCTAAACACCACCACAAGAAAGCACCAGACAGATTTGGAAGGTGCCATCTCTTTAGGAAGGAAGGTTGGTCTAGCCAACAGGTCAATGACCAGACAAGCAGGAAAAAGCACTGTGAACCTAACAACCAGATGCAGTAGTGTCCACTATGAATCTGGCTTACACAAACCAAGTGCAAAAACTATCCTGGGGAAAACTGAAGAAATCTGAATATGGACTGGGTATTAAGGTAAAAACGTAATACATGACAAGACAGGGAAAAAATGAATAATAAAAAAGCATAATCAATATGATCTTATGGTAAGAACCAAACACACACACACACACAAAGAAAAGGCTAAATAACATGATGTTAATGGCAGTAATCTCTGAATGGTAGAAATGTGGCATTTTGAATTTCATTTTCTAAAGAAATGATTACCTACATTTTCTGACACTCCAGTTTATATTACTGTTTTTATAATTAAAGATTACTTTTAGTGTAAAAAGAGTTAAGTCAGAGAATGATAGCCAACACAATTGCCTTCAACTATAGCTAGGCTAGCTCATGGCTTACAAGTCAATTCAGAACCAGAAAAAGACAAGTTATCATAAGGACTTAAATTGGAAATCAGAACGTTGTTTTCAGAATCTTCTTAAAAGATGAAGTGCACAACACACACATCCTTTATTCTAATTCCAACAAAGCAAAAGCATGTGACACAACCATAAATACTAGGAAATACACTTAAACTTTAAGTATATCTTAAAAACATGCACACTCAAGAGCCTAAGCTCAAATTTTTAAAATGTTGCTATAGCAGCAGAAATGAATAAGAAAGGCAAGATTTAAGAAGAGCCCTACAACAATTATGAAATCATTATTACTTTACAGAAAGTAAAAATACACTATTTCAAAAAAAAGCAAGAAACAAACTACTATAAAACAGGGGCATCCTGCAATACTGACTTTGTGACAAACTTACACAGGGTCTCCTGGAGACTTTCCTGAGCACTGATGTTCTCATGTGTGTGGGGAAACTCTTGGGAAAAGAATGAACAGAAAGAAAAAAACAGAACAAGTGTCACAATGCCAAAGAGAGTTCATACCTCCTAACACAAGGACAAGAGTCAAGTCCCCACAGAAAGGTAGATAAGGAGGGCCAACACAGTGGAGACAAATCAGCTTAGGTAGTAGTTCCAGACCCACTCTAACAATGTGTAAAAATTCCAAGTACCTTAAACAAGTCCTAGAAAGAAGGCCAAATAAATTTAAAGGAAACATCAAAATCCAATACCCATAAAACTCACAATATCCAGCATCCAGTAGAAAACTGTCAGTCATACAAAGCAGCAGAAAAAAAAGACCCAAAATTAGGAGAACAAGAAATAATAGAAAACATGAATGCAAGGAGGAAAAAAAGGAAAGATAAACTGTAACCCAAATGCAGTATCTATGATGAAAAATACACTGCATGGGATTAAGAGCAGATTAGATGCTACCAAAGAAAAGACGGTTAAACTTGAAGACAAAGCAAGAGAGGTATCCAAAATGAAAGAGAGAAATGAGAAAAAAAGACTGAAAAAATCCCAACAGGGCATCAATGAGAGATGGGACAATATCAAGCAGCCTAATACACAGTGGGCCACCTTATCTACAGGGGAGACATTCTAAGACCCTTAGCAGATGCCTGAAATTGTGGACAGTGCTGAACTCTGTATATAACTATTTTTATGCATATATACCTATGACAAAGTTTAATCTATAAATTAGGAACAGAAAAAGACTAACAACAATAACTAATAGCAAAATAGAGGCCAGGCATGGTGGCACATGCCTGTACTACCAGCACTTTGGGAGGCCAAGGAAGGAGGATCATTTGAGCCCAGAAGTTTGAGGTTAGAGTGAGCTATGATCATGCCAATCTGGGTAACAGAGAGACCCTGTCTCACATAATAATAAAAATAGGACAATTAAAAAATACACTGTAATAAAAGCTATGTGAAATTGGTCACTCTCTCTCAAAATATCTTATTGTACTGTGATGAGATG